CTTCCCGGGGTATGAATGGAAACGAGGTGTGCACGAAGTCACCCAGCACATGCACTGAGTCCCCACAAGGCCCCCACAGGGTTCTCCAAAGATCCCCCAGTACACATGGAAAAGAACCAGCATGTGAGTTCTTGCCAGGCCATGGCAGGGGGTGAGGGGCATCTGACACCTGAGAGAACTATACCCGTTCTCAGCAAAGGGTCCCTTTTCCTCTTGCTGCCCTGCTCCTATACTCCGACAAGGCGAGCTGGGAAGGGGCAGGAGAGGACACATCTGCCTCATCTCCACTGCAGATTCCCCAGTCACTTGTGGGTCAGACTGGAGGGGCTTGGGGAAGAGGTATTAAACCGCAAAGGAGAATAGAGTTTTGATTGGACTGGACTGGACTTCTAATATGAGACTCTTCTCATAGTTGAAACTCAGAGCTATGGGGTCTGATGTGATATTTCCAAGCTCAGCTCATTTCATAGCCCAGTAGGAATAATTTATTCCCACTATTGATAAAGGCTCTGTGAGACATGCAGCATCCAAAGTGCCATGCAGTTTCCAGAATGAAGACCCAGAAACCACAGTGCAACGCCCAGCAGTCAGCTCCAGTTCTCCAAGCTTGAAATTGGTGAGATTTCTATTGATCTGTGGTGCAAACCACCTTAAGCTATTCTAGGGGCAACCAATGCAAATGCCAACAGGGGCCTGGCAGGAAATATAATGAATGAAGGGGGTTAGGTGGGGCCCATGGTGAACTGGAGAGCCTGTGTCCCATCTGAAAGGGACAGCTGTCTCTCAAATCTAGCCAACTATTGCCCAATGAGGCCAAGTCTTCCAATTTTCCCAGAAATGCCAGAAATCTCCATTTTTGGTAGTGTCTCCTGATTTCGGCATTATTGGTAAGAATATTAGTCAGAGTTCTTTGTTGCAAACGACACAATGTACTCCAGGTGGTTCAAGTACTAGTGCTTTAACAGGGGGGTACTATGGACTGAATTCACGTTTTTGAGTCTTAACCCCCCATTGGACCTTTACAATGTTTAGGAGGTAATTAGGGTTGGGTGAAGCCAAAGGGTGAGGCCCTAATTCAAAAGGGCGATGGCCTTGTAAGAAGAGGAAGCCATGTGAGCCATGCCTGCCCAGCGTGGACACAGCAAGAAGACGTCCTCTGACATCCAGGAAGAGGCTTTCACTGGAACCCAAACATGCTGGCACCACAATCTCCAGCCTCCAGAACCGTGAGAAAAATAAATTTCTTTCGTTGAAGCCACCCACCAGTGGTGTTCTGTTATGTCAGCCAAGGCAGACTACAGGTGGTTAGAAGCCTATAGACTCTCCAGGAGGACAAGAGTGCTAGGCTCGGACTGTCCAGCTGGGAATGATGCCCAAGCCACACCATCAGACTGCCCCTGTGAATGCCATGCCATGCCTCTCAGCACAGACTCCACGCTTACACAGGGGCAGGACACCTGGCTCACTTCCACGTATAAATCTCATGTGATGTGTGTAATGGTAGAGCCCAGATCACATGAAACTTGGTTGCAAGGAAGGTTCTGGAAGAGTGCTTTGGTTTCTCTTATGGAGACATGGGACTCATAAGGTGGGCATTTTTCAAACATAGGAAAGATATTCAAAGGGGGCTGTAGGGATGCAAAGTATAACAAATGTTCACGATAGCAATTAATTGAAAAGACATGGTGGTGGCTGGGGGCGGGGGGCAAACAGAATGCCTCTGTGGGCTGCTTATAGCCCTGCCAGCTGATGACTTCTGAACTATGGGCTACTTTCATTTTTTAAACTTCTACTTCATCTGAGAACAACTAGAAAAGCCAAATCAAATCATCATCATCATCATCACCTACTTAAAGGCATTCAGAGAGCTGCTGAAGCAACCAGAACTAGAGGGGCCAAGCTTCTGGAACGATGTTGAGGTGAGCTGACAAACCGCAGCCACTTTTTCCCTGGGGCATTTGCAAATTTGGGCACTTGGAATCTAGACTTTTCCCAGGCAAGGATGCTGCTGCTGAGAGCACAGAGAAACCAGAATTTTGGCGGTGTCTTAGGGCTGGAGAGACAAAATTAGGGACTATCCTAGAGAGAAGGGAGGGGTAGAAAAGCAGTTTTACCCTTAAGATATTTGGCAGATTCTGAAACAGTGCAGGCCAAGAGGCTAGAAGCCAAACAGAAAGCCCCTGAAAAAGAGAAGAGTGTCCAGCATTCTTCCCATGTTATGGCTAAAAAGATTAGAGCACAGGACCAGGGGAAGGGGCCTCAGTGAACACCCAAGGTTCTCAGTTGGAATCTCTGAAAGGCAAAGCCTTAGAGGTGGGAGCCAGAGTTAGATCAGTCTCTTATCAAAACTGCAACCCAGCCTCCACCCAGCTCAGCCCCTGACTGGATTAAGATACTCAGCCCCCATGCCATCTGCTTGCAGAGAAAGGGTGAGCCCTCTCCAGAATTAGAGATCACCTGAAGACTTTATATATATTTTTCATACACAGATGTGGTATGGTATGCAACAAAAATTACAAGGCCTGCCAAGAGACAGGACCAAATCCCTGAAAACAAATAGAAAAACAGGCAATAGAAACAGACTGTTCAGGTGACCACAGTACTGGACTAAAACCAGGGCTTTGAAATAACCATGATTAATATTTGTTCAAGAGACACAAAACAGAAGAAGGAAAAAAGAGATGAAAAGCAAATTAAAAAAAAAAAAGATTTTATTTATTTGACAGAGAGCGAGAGAGCACAAACCAAGAGCTTCACAGTCCAAAAGACTGAGGACATAGAGAACTCACTTGAGCTCATTGACAGAGGGATTTTGAAAATGCTAATTCAGCTCTGTATGAACTGTAAAACCTCATGGCCCACAGTCTAAAAAAAAAAAAAAGTTTGTCATCATTGGCTGTCATTCTCTTTACTTCTCAAGTGGCTTCCTTTAAGGGACACATATTGTGCCATGTGTTCTGAGTCACTCTGCTCCATAAACCAGTTGCCTGGCGTGGAGCTCTGTTTACCTGGAGAAAGAGGAGCCTTTTGCTAATTATCCTAAATACATCCTTTGAGCAATGTGTGTTGGGAGTACCAGTAGTTAAGATGATCAGGAAGATGAAGCCTCTCTGGGATGACATTTGAGTCAACACCAAGTGACAAGGAACCAACCAGGAGAGAATTCGAGGGAGATGTGGTCTGGGCAGAGGGGATATAGAGAGCAGAGAACTCTGACGCAAGAACATGTTTGGTGATTTGGTCAGGGGTGGGCAGACTTTCCTGGAAAGGGCCAGATAGCACATATTTTAGGCTTTACAAGTCATACAGTGCCTGTTGCAACTACTCACTTCTGCTGTTACAACACAGCAGTAAACGCGGACATAGAACAAATGGGTGGCAGTGGTCCAATAAAACTTTGTTTATGGACACTGAAATTAGAATTTCTTCTAATTTTCACACGTCACAAAATCTTTTGATTTTTTTTCCAACCTTTTGAAAATATAAAAACCATTCTTAGCTCTGGGGCCACAGTTTGCTGGGATAAGGTCGTTTAGGTAGGCTGGGATCAGACTGCAGGACACGTAGGGCATGGTAACAATCAGATTAAGGCAAAGCCCCTTTCCCCCTCCAAATGGAAAAGCCACCCCTCAGGGTAACTGAAGTCCAGGGTATCAATTCAGGGAGTGGGCAGTGTTCTACAGTTCATAGAAGATGACCAGTTTTGTTTCACTCTGTTCCAGTAACAAGAAAGGACAAACGAACACACGCACACGCACGCACTCTGGGAGGCAGCTTCCTACAGCTCATGGAAGACGATCAGGTTTGTTTTCTTTTTCCCCAGTAACAAGAAAGAACAAACGAACGAAAAGACAGGCAGACAGACGCACACACCAGGGCTCATGGAAGATGATCAGGTTTGTTTCGTTTTACACGCACACCCCCCCGAGCCAGAAAGCCAGAGAGGACGTGCCCAGGTTCACGCTGACGTTTCTCCAGCACGCACCAAGGGTTTGAAAGTTGGGTGCACACCTGCTCCCAGCCTGAGCGCACCTGCTGAGCAGGACTCCGGCCTCGTCTCGCGAGAGCGTGCTGTAGTTAGTAGTGGCCCC